TGACCAGACTTTATTCCATAAATGAGAGAACTACCTCAATGCTAAAAAACTACCAAAAAACTGGTAGAAAATTCCATTACATATAACCTGAACTAAGGATGCTCACTTTGGCCTCCACGAAGTTTAATGGAATATTAGAAGAACTTCATTATCTCTGCAGACCACAAGAATCTAAAAATAGAACTGCTATTTTATTTAGAAAAGCTGTCAAGAAATCTGATGAACTCCTACATATTACAATTTTTTATATCATATACCCACACACAGAGCAGGTACAATAAGCTAACAGGAGTATTGCTTCTGCTGATTTCACAGGGAAAAGCTGTTTGATGCTATATGACACAAGACATTTCATGATTCTCTCTGATGTATTAAGATAAATTGTGTCTCATGTACAGCAGGTATGATTTTAAAAATACAACTGTTGACAAGCTGTGTATTAGTTCTACCCAGAGAAACAGTTAGCAATAACCCAGTAATTTTTTTTCCAATAAAAATTAAAAGTAACAACACTGAGCTGTGCCCAAGGAAAAAAGTGGACTAGATTACCTGTTACAGTGTTCTTGCTGTACAAGTGTAACATGTAAACAGATACTTTACATTATTTCATATTTTACTAGCATATTTTTAATATTTATTCATACTACTATTCATAAGTGGCCAATTTCTCATGCGTTGTTGCCTAAGCTGTACCCACAAAAGCTCCATATGCCTTTGTTCTACAACAAAAGCTTACACAGATGAGAACCCACACACACAGACAACTAGACTGGTAGTAGCTGGTGTGTGCTCATTCCCATACATGCATGTAAGATGCAATAAAGACTCCACATTATAAAGTAAAGATAAGTAAAGATATCATTCACACCAATTAATTGCCATTAATGCAATATTTCTTAGACTTGAGTGACACACAAAAATAAGTTAGCTAAAGGATAAGAGCTCTCCATACACAACTCAGATGCACAGGCATACAACTTCATAACAAAAAAAACCTGAAAAGATCAATGAGGACATCTAAAAAATGTGTAAATCTGGGAAGGAAAAAATTGAGGAACATGGACTTCAAAGAGGAGAAATTCAGAGTGAGTCTGTGCCATCAACTCTCTCTTTTCTAAAATAAAGTACAAGGTAGATCAATCAACAGAATGACTGAAGCACGCTACTTTCACTTTAGTTGCTCCAAAAGCAAGAGTCAATGTCACCAGGAAAATAATTCATGTATGAAACCTGAGCACACAAGTATCATGTGACTTAAAAGAAGTTTTTATTACTTTGTCAAAACCACATTAATACCATATGATTTAGAGGCATGGTTTTGCTTTTTTTTTTTTTTTTAATTGGACTATGCAAATAAGTGAAGCCCTGATAGCATTTGGTGCTTGGAAATCCAAAGACAATGATCTACTATCTGCAAAATAATTGCCAAGTGATCAGGACAGGCAATAATCTGTCCCACCAAATCAGACAGTGAAAGAAGGCAGCCACACAATTCCTATAGCAATACCAAAAGAAATATAATTTGTTCAACTGTACATGGAACAAGGACCACAGAAAGGACATAACAGGACCATTCAGAAGGACCTAATTTGGCCATCTGTGATGAAGATGAATTTTGCAATCACACTTCTGGATACACTTCAAACTTTTGTAGCTAGGTGCCTTTTGAAGAATGTCTTTTAGGTTCAAATGATCTCTCCAAGCGTACCTGACACTCAAACATGTAAAATCTAATTCCATGTGATAACCTTCTACGCACGACAGTAATTTTATGGTTGCATCTTTACACTACCATGCCTCTTTCCTCCTCCTGAGACAGAAAGGACATTGGTGCAAAACAAGAGTCAGCAACAAGGAATGTGAAAGCCTGAAAAATCTTAAGCAGTAGCAACAAAGCACCGACAGATGACCAGCAAAACCTAAGGCATGAGGGCTTGGGATTAGTTTTTTAATTTGATAAAATATGTATTGGCTCATGGCCAATCTCTTAGGTAAGTCACTTACATAACTATAATTTAAAATAGGAATAAAAGCACATTTAAGTAAGAATACCAATTCAAATCTAGGTGCTTAAATTAGTAATTGGACAGTTGTATATGGCCTCTAAGTGCAGACTTAAGAATTGTGTCTTGAAGAATGAGATACCAATAGACAAATTCAGGATATTTTTGCTTGCCATTCTAATACAAAATAAAATGCTATTACTTGTTTTCAAATCGTCTTGCATAAGTCTCAGCTGCTAAAGTAACTATTAGAGTGATATCATGGGCATACACTATCTTTCTTCCCACAAACAGTGGTCATTTATGACCATGTTCAGTCAGCACACCCTTTCTTACACGTCTTGCAAAACCACTGGACAATTCAGGCTTTTTGGAGGACAGCTTCACTTCAGCATGACAGCCAGAGTACATTTGTAAGATGAAATTTCATGCAGGGGAATGGCTGGGCTTTAGTTGTTTTTCAATATTTGATTGCATTGTGTTTTTATTTTCCATCTGAAAGGATTATCTTAAGGACAACAAGGCAAGCTGAAGCTGCTCAAAATCGCCTGCAGACTCTGCTATCACCATCTCTGGTGGCTTTGTCCCCTAGCAACTACCAAGTAATTGACACAAAATCTTCCCTCTCACCTGCCAGTTTCTGTTAGTTCAGTTTCATGCCACCCAGGCTTAGCCAACTCAAGAGTTCGTCTCTCCAGAATTTTCAGGAAGCAGAAGTATTTACTCAAGACACTGAGGCCACCTTATTTTTGGCCATGTGTTTTGCTCATAATATATAAAGCCAATTTAAAATTAAGAAGTACATTTTGCTCAGTTAAAAGACAAAGGTGTGCACTCTCCTGAGTCTGTGCAAGGTATGCACAGCTGACAGCCCTATTATAGCCAGATCTACCAGCAGGTTGGTTGGGCTGATCTACACAGCACAGTGCAGCACAGTGTGAAAGTCTCAGCCATCAGCAGCTGGAACATCCATATGCATACGGCAGCACCTTGCAGAAATACGAGCATGGGTGCTGGAAGCTGCATTAGCCAACCCATGCAGCAAAGGGACATCTGACCTAGGCAGGGCTGCACCGTGCTCTCAACAACATCTGCAGGCTCTTTGGAAAGCACCCCAGGGTGTCCACCCCCACCTCAGGCCTCGACATTTAGAGAGATGCCAAGGCTGTTTCACACGTGTAGCACACTAAAAGCAGTTTCCCAATGCAGTTGAGTCAGTCCCAGGACTAGCTGCCTCCCCTCTCCCCACCTCCTGCTTCTGTCCTTGCCCTTGCACAGGACCTTGCCCAAACCTCTCTGATAAGCCACTTAAGGGTTGAGCCAGGCAGTAGTGGGACACTGTACAGTTAGGGGATTGTGGTTGGGTGGGTGGTTTTTCTGGGTCAAGGGGTAATTTATTTTTTTTTAACTCCTTCTCCCAGTTCACTCTGGGGTGATTAGTGCTGGTGCAAGAAGATGGGAATCCACAGAATTGGATTGAGTGCACATGGGGAAGAGAGCCAGCATCAGCGTCAGAGAGCTGTGAGATCAATTCAAGCTGCAATTTTATAATATAGCCAAGTTCGCCACATAAAAATACTGTAAAAGAGCTAAATACTATTAACTTAGCAGCTGGTGGTATTTAACTGTGCATAACATATTCTACAGGAAACCCACCAGCAAATATTTCTATTAAATTGTAGTAGAAACAACAAGCTGTCTAACTAAAAGGAAACATGACTTTCAAACTTATGTAATACATACATTTGAAACTATCACTCTCTGGTGATCATATAGCAATAATAAGTCAGCAGTTTCCAGAAATGGATTTCATTGCTTAGAGTTGTAAGTGTGGCACAGCAGCCTTACAAGCAGCAAGCTGTTATTACTCTGCAGTGATCGGAACTGCCTGGCAGGAGCACAGTGTTGGTACTTGGCTGCCAGAAAGTGAATTCTCAGATGCAGGTATTTCACAGCAGAGGTAAACGTAATTGTTAAAATTAACTACCTGTCATGTAGCTACTGCTACTTATTATAATAAGCTAAGTACACAGATAATCTAATTCACCCTGTTCTTACTACATTCAGTGTTGAAACCCCGAAGAATGAACAAAACCTGTTCATATCACTCCTATGAAATGAAATTATGAAGTACGGAAGTACTCCCATGAAAATGAACATATTTGCTCAGCTGTTTTCTGCTTCCCATTAACTGAACACAACAAAGCAACAGCAGAGGTCATATTTCCCAACTTCTGAAACAATTAGCTCACTACATCTCAAGTAAGAACTACTGTTAAGTTTTGTTCAGTTGGCTTCCTTTCTTCTTAGGAAGAATGCAGTTACCCTCATTTAAGATGGCTAAGATGTTCATACCATTCTTCGTAATGACTGGATCTCAAAAGATAGGTGTTGAATACGATTTTTAAAATATCAAGGAAGAAACAAATAAATGGAAAACCTTGTTCTACAAAATGCATTCAAACTGATCTTCAATAACATCCCTTTTTGTCCGTGGGATTAAATTAGCATAGAATCTTTCCTAGCTGAGCTTCAAATAATGTCTCTTTTTGTCAATGGAATTAAATTAGCAGAGAGTTTTTCCTAACATTAGAACAGAAAGAAAGAAATATAAAAGTAAAGGGAAGGAAGAAAAACAACATACCTAGCTGTAAATTGCTGGGTTTCACTCCTGAGTAACTGCAGTTACTATTTAGTTAAATGGTGCTATGTTGAGATTATTTATTTCCTGTTAAATTCCTTTCACCTGACAATCTAAAAAAAGATTTTTGAAACAGAAAGCTCAACAGCAGTAACGTTCCTCACTATGTATCTCAGATGAGGTTTGTTCCTTGAGCTAGTGATCATTTCTCAGCATGACATGCAGAGGATTAGTGGTGTACTTCTAATGGAAATTACTAGATTTCTTCCATATCGCTGAGTCAGTAACATAGCTTTTTCCATATGTTTTAGAATAAATATTGGTAGTGTTTGGCAGGAATTGGGTAAGTGACTCACCTTTGTCTAAAGGAACCTCCTCCTCCTCACAGGGAGAAGGAAGGAGGGGCTGTAGAGGTTCCATGTTGATTATGAGTTGCTTGTTCAAGGAGGGAGAGCTGCGACTCTGGGTAATGCTGGTTCTAAAAGAAGGGGGAAAACAGCATCAGTTTATTCACAAGGAAACAACTGCAGTTCAATACATCTCATCTCAGAATTGTTTTGCATAAATTACACTAGGCCTTGAGCTATCATAACAAGTTCTGCACTTGAACGCTGCTTATGTGTTATGTTGCACCCTCAGCAGATATAGACCTTTCAATATCTGAAGTGCAAGAGAAAGTTTTGTGCTGGTTTACTTCTCTTTACGCAGCCTGACTCCTTTTCATCTTATGCAGGATTTCAGTGTGTTGTTCCTTCCACACTGCACAGCACACATCAGTATTTGGCTTCTTGGAAGGGGAAGGTAGAGAGGATACAAATAATTTTCTTGATGTTGTTCCATTGCCTCTGGGACTGGGTAAAGGATTTGTTATGGTTTGAGCACTGCAGACTAAAGACTAAAGCAGGAACAACCGTATCCCTTCAGTTAACAGATACACAGTGCGCTCATTCTCACGCACACCAGATACTGCCTCTACACCATGCTTCCAGGTGCTCAGGCTGGTTTTCTTTCTCGTCTTACTTGGCTCTAACAGGCTTTCCTGGTAGCAGGCGTTGAACTTTCTCAGGAAAGTTTGAGGAATGCTGTTGATTTGCTTCAGTCATGAGGCTCATTAGCTAAAATCATATTAGTGAGAATATAAAATGGCTCTTTAGAGTAAGTTAACTAGGACTTACATGCTACAGGCCTGAAGCAAGAGTCCTGCAATAAATTTGAACTATTACATTATAAAATATTTACTTTTGACAGAAGCAAAGATGAAAAGGAAGAGGATTCTACTTGACTTCAAATGGTACATAGGTACAGTGAGGAAGTTTCAAAAAATGCATTTCAACTTTGCACAAAGACTCAACTTACAATTCCACATAGATAAACAAACTGAACAAAGCACCTGTTGCAAGTGAAAAGAAGGGACTGTGTGTTGCTGAGGATTTATGTAAACTTGGGACACAGATGTCCTACTCTAAGTCACATTACATATCATTAAATATTCTGTGGGGATAAACAAGCTTTCTTGCTCAATTGCTATGATTCCTTGCTCATTAATATATGCCCAAAGCTACTTATGTCCTCATTTGCATTCTGTGAGCAGTCTGTAATAGCTATTTAGTTTAAATTTTCACTTCCAAAGAAGTTTTTCTCTCAGATTACTGTAATTACAGTCACTGCAACCCAGCAGTACCTCCACAGGCTTGTTATGCAACCCCATGATCTTTGTGTTTGCTGTAGAGAGCTATCAAGCAACCCCCAAAATAGAAGTGCCTAGGAGCACACATAAGGCTCCTACTCCATGCTTATTTACAAAGATGTCTCCTTCAGGCATACCCTGGAATCAAAATATTAAATCATTCAGTGTGCATTTGTCAGACCTCTCCACCACATTAATGCTATATGACTACACGCTCCAACAGATTTTCAGTCCCTAGTGCTTTAAGTGTAATGTCCAAACACAAAGATACTGAACAGTAACCTCCTCACAACTGCATGTTTCTTTCTCAATGCAGCCATGTCACCACTGAATTGACTTTGAGGAAGGGAGGACAGGGAGAGAAAACTTTATATATATTTAAATATATATGTATATTTGCCTTCAATCATATAATTTCCTCTAAAAGTTTTGCATCCGAAAAACTACCATTTCCCACCCTGAAATCCTCTTTCACAGAGTAACGTGCTTCTGAAGCCTGCTTTTTTTTGAGCTGAAAATTTGCTTTTTGCCTACTTGTACTATTAGAAGGACAAGCTATCTACCTCTGTCTCCCATTTCAAAACCTGCACTATAAAAACACTTGAAATCATTAGACTTTTTCTTGGTCTTTCTAAGAAACTAAACTTGGAGCTACCATTATACTGTAAATGCAAGCATTTTAAGAAGGTTAATCATAAAAAATATACATTACTATTTATGGGTGTTAAATCCATATGAAGTTGCTCTATAAACTTATTTGCCCTCTGATCTGTTTCTTCATGTACACTACGAGTTTTAAACAATATGCTTAAAATACACTAAATAGTGAAAGCAAAGAAAAGCAAAATACAAGATAAAACATAATTTTACATTAAAACCCTTTCTTATACTCTGGAAAAAAGAAACACTATGGGAAGTAGGCAATAAGCTATTTCCTTATGTGAGTAACTATTTTCATTTAAAATGCATTTGTGTGCCCAAGTATTCTACCCTGCCTCAATGATGGACCTATATTCTGTCTTCCATGTTCTCAGTCAACACATTCTAGACTGTCACATACCCCGTTTTGAAGTGTAATCTGTAAAAGCATGTTCAAAAGCATCCCTGCATGGCCTTACTATTAATTACGTAGTAGGGCTGCACAACATATTTATAAATATTTGCTGCAAATATATTCCTACCCTTTAGTAAAGACAATCCACTTTTCTCTCAAATATAGATGGAATAGCCATATTCAATTAAAAATAAACCAAACACACACATCCTACCCCTGAAAAAAAATCACAATAAAAATAAGGATATGGCTGTAGAATGTTCACAAAGTTCAGTAACCTTTTTAAAAGTTTTTAAATAGCTTTTTTGTGCTGGCCTCTTTCTTGTTTTCTGAAGGACTTTAATTAGGTTCTTACCAATTTTCACTGTCACTACAATGAGTGATAAGGACCAGAAAGCATTAGTTTTCTTTTAAAATCTAGCTGCTTGTTTCTAACAAGCCAAATTTTTCTCTGAAAAAAAAGATTGTCTGATCTTTTTTCTCTTTACTGAATGAACTTCCTGCTTTTTAATCTGACTGCGTTATGCAAAAACTATCAAGTATACTGTTAAACATACCCATGTACCTACACTAAACAGAATCTTTCAAAACCAGGCAAGAACTAGGAATGAAATGAGAATGTACTTTTCTGTCAGGATCATGTAATAACAGTCTATGTCATAACACAGAAAATAATATAAGCTACTTATCTGACTGATTGATTAAACCCAGCTTCGAAGCAGCACAGATTAAGTTCCCTTGTGCAGGAGACAATACAGCATTGTCAGAATTTTTTAACACTGGCAACACATATTTCCCAAGACTTGCATGCCTCATTGTGGAATCTTAGAACAACATCCATTACATCTCACAGTAAAGGAAAGAGAATTTCTCTGTAGAGAACAATAATCCTCCTTAGTCCTTAAACTTTAATATTGAACGTCAAGACATACCTGTGAACTTCAGGAGGTTCCCTCTGGATTTTAGAGCTTGCCTCCACCACCTCTTTGGCTACTTTTCCACTGCATTAAAACATGAAATAAATATTCAAGCAAATACTAAGATGAGCTCATTACATGCCAAACACTATACATAAATGAACAATTAAGTTACATTCAAAAGAAAAAAAGGGAAAAAAAAATCCTATGCAGTGGGTATATAGTGTCCCAGATTAAAAATTCTGCTGACCACTTCTCTGCAAAGCTACTGAAGAAAAAGCAACCTTTTGTAGTAGAACGCTAGGAGTGAGACTGGACTATCCCACTAATGCACCCCTGGTCCAGAACTGCCCAGTTACAGGGGGCATACAGTCTCTGCACTGGCCACGCATCGTTGTTTTTACAGAAACTGCACCAAAAGTGGAACACTGTTTCATGAAACTGGTCTTCGACAGAAGTCTGCATGAAGCCTCCAGGATGTTAAAGAGACAACAGAAAATCTTTCTAATCCTGACCTGAATTACGTGTGAACAGGTCATCAAGAAGGAAGATCCCTCAATTTGCCATAAGTAATTACTGATGTTTTCTCTTACTTTCTGAAATGGTTTACCATGAAAAAGAAACAGCAAACACCCACCTATATCGAAATCTACTGCCTTTAAAAAATATCTTGCTGCTGGACATGGTCTTGATCTGACTGGATTTTGCATACCTTGAAGAAAAAGAACCAAGTCTGTCACATTTTCAGCACAGAAGGAGCACGATAAGCAAAAACGAACAAGGCAAACTACAAGCTTTGTTATTTTTATACCACAAAGTAATACTCAGTAATTGGCCTTTCCAACTTTTTTTAAGGCCATTATACAAATTACAATATAAAGCACACATAAAACAATTCAGACAGCACAGAAAAACTGAACATAAAACAAGTGATTACCTGAATAGGAAAGCAAGAAAATTAAATGCAGACACTTGCTGCATCTCTAGGGACTCTAATTCACAGGATGAAGGAAAGACTGTGGTACACCAAAAGCCCCTAGGACAAGTTTGCCCTAACACCACCTTGTTTGTGGGAAGATATGGCTATTTCACTTCCCCACTAGTAAAACAAAGAAATAATAAAGAAGTGGTAACACTTGCCTCCAAGAATAGTTGCTTTTCCAATGTCTCTATACAGTCAACTCCTTAGTAGCCTATGTCATATCCTACTGCTTCTCTCTAATCACAAAGTACACAGCAACATTTTATCACAGTCTTTTATCACAAAGATCATGGAAGAGTATCCCAGACGCTCCATCTCCTTGATATTCTCTGCCTTCAAAATGGCAAACTGATTTCATATAGAGTCTCTCATTCCCAGACCCTAGTAAACAATTTTCTATGATTTGTATCTACTTGATAATAATCACAACAGTGAACCCTGAGCCTGGATCAAGACAGGACTAAAGTTGTTTTTTCAAGACATGCCAAGCAATCATGACCTTATCTTAAATTCCAAGTCTCAAGCTCTTCTAAGCAGAGGAGAGGAAGAAATCTAACTAAAGCAAAGTGTCATTATCATGAATTATTTATACAGCCTGGCTACCTCTGTTCTAATCTTATTGGAATACCTTGTTGCTATCATACAGAACATAAACAGGATTTATCTAATGCTGTTAAGTAACCAACAGTCCACACTCAGTACAACTCAGTTTCTCTGAAATGTATGAAAACTTTTGCTGTTTCAAAACTACTATCCTAAGCCTTTATTTACAGATTGCTTTGGCTTCATTTTCATGTTTGGAGGATTGTTGTTATTTTTCTGCACTCTGCTTATTAACCATTACTATTTTCCAATCTATTGGCCAGGTTCCTCTCCACTGAATGTCACTACCAATCTTCATTTTACTAAAGTAGTCCTCTTTTAAGACCCACCAGAATTGAAACAGGCAAGCATAATTTTAAGCAATCCTGCTAAAGAAATAACCCCACAGTAGTGCCTGAAGACATCTGGAAAGTAGAAAAAAAGGTGAGAGAAGCAGCCCCACAGACACCAAGGTCAGTGAAGAAGGAGAGGGAGGAGGTGCTCCAGGCACCAGAGCAGAGATTCCCCTGCAGCTCATGGAAAAGACCATGGGGAAGCAGGCTGTCCTCCTGCAGCCCATGGAGGTCCACAACAGAGGAGATATCCACATTGCAGCCCATGGAGGACCCTGCACTATAGCACATGGACATGTTCTGAGGGAAGATGCAGCCCATGGAGAGCCCACACAGAAGCTGGCTCCTGGCAGAAGTTGTGGCCCATAGAGCAGAACCCATGCTGCAGCAGGTTTATCCTGAAGGAATAGAGCCCATGGGAAGGACCCGTGCTGGAGCAGTTTCTGAAGGGCACTGGAGCAGTGGAAAAGTGTGAGGAGGAAGGAGCAGCAGACAGAAACTGCTATGAACTGACTGCAGACCCCATTCCCCATCTCCCTGCACTGCTTGGGGCAAGGAGGACATAGAGGAGTCAGAAATGAAGGAGTGAAGTTGAGCCTGGGAAGAAAGAGGGAAGGGGTGTTTTTAGTTTTGCCTTTATTGACACTTTAAAATAAAGCAAGACGATGAGAAACAAATTAAATTAACCTTCTCCAAGTCAAGCCTGGTTTGCCCGTGACAGGAATTGGTAAGCAATCTTTCTGTCTTTAACCCCACCCATAACCTCTTTCATCTTATTTTCTCCCCTTGACCTGTGGAGGAGGGAGTGAGAAAGCAGCTAGGCAGGCATCTGGCACCTAGTCAAAGCCAAACCCACCACAACCATGTATTTGTGACCAAAACCCGAACAGTTAATATAACAACCATTTATCAATAAGAGCAGAGAGATGATATTCCTATAAGTCTCCCTCAGACATCTTTACTTCGAGCACTAATTTTTCTCCTTTGGGTGGGAATTGTTTCCTATTCCCTCTAATTATTTCTAGAAATATTAAAAAAACCTGCTCAAACAGCATGCACTATGTGTACTTCCAATGGAAAGCACTCCTGATAATCTTTTTATTAATTCAGTCTCAAACACAGTAGATGTTAACATGGAGAATTAACAGCTGTATTGTTCCAGCTCATATTTCCTGTTTCTTCACTGAGTATATCAATTGAATAGATTATATTGATATGTTATTGTACCAGTGTTGAAATGAAACAAGGAATCTTCTCCAAAATAAAGCAGGTCATTAACATCCATGTTAGAAGACACATTCTTCCCACTTAGTTATTATTCACCCTTACAGCAGCCCCCTGGTGCTGTTAAGCTCCAACACAGAAACAATAATTTTTATAAAATATGCAAGATGCTGTAAGGAGAGACTAAGCAGCAAGAATAAAAGCGATATGTCTAAAGGGAAGCCTCAATAAACAGATCTAACAAAGTCAACAGAGGGCAAAAAGAACACAATAAGAGCTTTTTAATGAGGAATTATTTTCAAGTTCTCTTTTAGGGAATAGGGAGGAAGACACTCCTTTTTTCTTGACAATTTAAAGGTTTTTAAAAAAAAATCAAATGAGATGGCTGGCAACTTACAAAATGTATCTAAGAACATTTTCTTTTCTTTTTTAAATCATTTCAGAGAATTTTTTTTTAATCAACTCTTAGTAAACCTTGGATTTCAAGTGGGAGAACATTACCTACCAGCAGAAGAGCCCAGAGAATCAAATATAACAGATTGTTTCCTTCATTCTCAAGGTATTCAACAGCAGGGCTAAGATTAACAACTATGTTCCCAGACACAAGTGCAGTACCATGTCCATCCAACATCACACTACAGAGCAGCAAAACCAGTGTGCTGGAAGAAGTGTAATTATTCACTGCCAAACCCCTCCTGCCTCATTCAGATTTTAAACAATTTACAATACTGGCTTGAAATGAAATAATATTCCTCATTAGCTTGCGTATTTTCTGTTTGCATTTTGAATTCTGTTAATTAAATGGAACATTTCATGTTAAACAACCTTCTACTCACATGCACACTTTTTTACTTTTAGTATAGATGATCACTTCAGGTTTACATACTTGTAAAAAGCCTGGTTCTCCACCCCACACTTCCAAAGATGCTTGCAGGCTGCTGGTGTAGAGGTATGGAATGACAGCACAGCCTTTTTCTAAGTGAAAGGAAAAGAAGGCAAATAAAAGTAATGAAAATGTAGAATTCTCAAAGACTGAAGTAGCTGTACCTGATGGTATCATCATGAACCGGATACACTGAAGACCAAGTTTTCCTGAGTAGCCTCGCTCTGTGGTTCACCCACAGAAGTACAACCGATACATAGCTGATATTCAAGCTGCCCAGGCAATTGTTTCAGAAATACAAGGGGATGCTTGGAGGTGACAGGCAAGAGCATATGTACAAGTGGCTTGTAGAATAAACCTGTACCAACTGTATTCACACCAAAATCAAAAGGTGGAAGTCTCTATATTCAATATTTCACCTTGCACAGTTGCTGCACTACTTACCATCCGCTTCTCCCTGTTCCCTATGTCCTACCATCAAATCCTCCTTGCAACCACACAAACAGCCCAAGACACCTCTGGCGTTATTTCCTTCCTTCATTTTCTATTTCTCACCTAGACTGCATCCAAAGCTGTAACCTTGGGCTTTGTCACTCTGCCCTAGGGGCAGAACTGATTATAGCATCCTGTAGGCAAAAATCTCTATGATTTCAATGGCAAGAGCCTAAGGACAGGACTCCTGACTGCCTAGGAGAGACTTCAGCCTATTCAGCTGACCAATATTTGAGGATATGATTGTAATTAGCTGAAAATACCTCACATTGATCCAGGTATCAATGTTCACCTGAATTTTCAATCATATACAGATGTCACTCATGCTCTAGAGTGGGTAGGTACAGCTTTAGCGCTTTAAAATCTGTTAAAACTTGACTACACAGATGACCAAAACCATGAGCAATCAACACAGCACTGCATGAATGTTAAGTGAGAAATGTCTCAACCCTTTGCAAATTAGACATTCTTTTGACAACAGCAATATTCTTGTTCACTCATATTCTATATTGTAGTTACAATATGAAGTACAATTATTGATTGTTTAGAAGTTTGTTTAGTTAAAAAATGATGTTACAATTTAGTTGATTCTAAATCATATACAGAAGTTCTGTGAAAATATTAAACCTGACCTCTTTCTGAGCTCCAAACACATAAAAAGTCTTCCCTTCAAATTTCAGTTTATAGACATCACACCTAGAAAGAGAAAAGTCATTTAAGTATAGGAAAAATGGATAGATCTACAGGTATGTAGAACCCATTTCTACAGGTATGTAGAAACTTGTATGCAAGTTTCCTTGATTACCAAGGTCAAGCAGGCTGTCAAATGACAAAGAGCCTCAACAGAAGTCTTACAACCTTTAGCATAAAAGCATTTAATATTCTAATGTTCTTTAGAGTAGAGACCATAAGCCCAGAGTATTTCTTTACATCCCTATGCACCTTCAAAGAATTAACTTTGGCTGCTGGAAAATGAAGAGGAAATTAAAAGTAGGCAGAAGCTGATGTTTACATTCTATTTATCACACAGCCTGTAATTCCTCTTCTATCTTAAAACCTTGGAACATCTAATGTAATTAAATTGAGGGAAAGAAAATACTCTTATCTCTATCCTTACTTACTTGTGGTTTCATATCACACATTTTAGTAACTAGCTACTTACAGACAGAACACAACAGGAAGAAAAAGAAAATGTTTGACAGCACATATTACTGAGGCCTTGTGAGTTGCAAACCTATGTCAAAATTTAATTTAACCAAGGCTGAAAGCACAGTCTACAGATGGAATAGCAGTGCACTGTATAAAGGCAATGTGATGCCTCTGCTTAAATTGTAATGGAAATTTTGTCATTACCACAGCTAAAATGGAGACACTGTAGTTTTTCTAAACTTCTCTAAAGATTTTGGATATCGGATGGTTGAAATAGGAATGATTCTGGAGGCAAGGACAATGCTAGCCCTGCAACTTTAGAAAAAGAGTTTTGCTTTAACATTAAACAACTAAAAATCATTCCAGTTGAGAAAGCTTTTTCATTGAAAAGAAAATCTCAAATATTAATTTAGATTTTTATTGTGCAGTGCAAATCTCAGCTAATATCAGTTAAAACTACTAGCACTCACTTCTAGGTCTCAGAAATGAAAGGAGCAGTGCATGGCATTCAGATAAATTCAGATAAACCAGATCAAACTTCCAATGGCCAGTGTAACACTGAGACAGCTTAATGGCTTTTCCTCCATCACTATTGCATTTTGTACCTGGTTTACATGCCAATGAACTAAATGAATACACAGATATCTCCGAAGGGACACATTATCCTTAACTAACATGAAAAACTAAGCGCTGAGAAACTAATTTCCCACCGTATGGTGGATACATCCTTGGCAAGTGTTATTCTCTCCTCCCTGCACTGTAGACTGACGTTGCAGTCACATTGTCCTTATGTCACAAGCACAAACCACTGAAGCACTGTGACAAGGGCTAACCAAAATTAACCCTAGGGAAACTACAGTACAAATCCAGGATCACAAATGGATGGCATTTGACAGACATGTCCGCAGAGCTCCACGGGGAACTGAATCGTATAGACAGGACTACACTGACTTTGCACCTCTGAGGATTTCAGGTTAGTCAACTATCAAGGGGAGTTCTATGGACATGCAGCAAAGAGTCCAGCTCTACACAAAAAACTACCTCCTCATTTCTTCACCTCCCGCCCATCTTGTTCCCACAAGACAGGCTGGGAGCGCTGAGGTGGAGCAGCCACATCTAAGTAACTGCTGTGGGCATCTCTTAAGCAGCAGGGCTAAAATGAGATTTATTGACATCTGAGCATGACTGTGCTCATTCTGCAGCACACCGCTGAGGGCATGCCCAGCTACTGTTACAGTACCAGCAGCATCTCAGTTTTACCGCTCCCTCAAACGTGGCTGTGGCTGCCCAATTAAGTCAAATGTTTTGCAGAAGCAGAAAAGGAAAGCCAGACAAAGCAAGGACAATTGCGTAAGTGTCCACTTCTTTAAAAAAAGAGGCTAAAAAATAAAAATTCAAAGGCATTCTCACCTCCTCCTCCGCTTACCAAATAAGTTCTTTTATAGTTTTCAAACTGAGGCTATTAAATGAGGAAATAGCAACATTTCCAAGAGTCAAATAAAGATGCAGGTGGACTCTTGTAAACTCTTCCAGATGTCTCTGCCAACAAGCCTCACTGGTGATTTACAGCATAGTTGAAAAATCAACTTACTCAATTTTAGCATTTTTGCATTATGTTGACTAATGCACCCAGCGGAATAATTTTCACTGGAGGAAGAATGAGACCAAATCATTATTATTATACTCCTCATCTAAGATCCTTTGAAACAGAAATATAATGGGGCAAGAGAAGGAATATTCACTTGGTTCACCTTAAAGACAACAAATGCAGGTGAAGGTAGTAGGAAGAAGGGAAGACACAGGAGAAAAGACTCTTGTATATTAATCTACTCTTACTTCACATGCTTACCATTTTAACAAATGAATTCTTTTATTCCCCTGGAAAACTACAAATCCTGCAGCTGTGAATCCTAAAAATGTAGTCGTCCCTGTTGAGTCCTTGAAAGAGAAAAAAGAAACATAATTTTCCCCTCATCCAGTGAGGTATTTCTTACTGATAGCATAAATTGTTACCCCACTATAGATTACCGCCATTTTGTTTTCCTTTTCAAAATAAATTTTGCCTTCAAATTGTACACTTCTAAAGAACAAAGACTGCTCTTGGCAATACAGGCTTCATTTATTTCTAGGCATTTAAATGAGTAAGAGCATCTTATGCTTTGTTTCCATCCACCTGTAGCTGATGACAGCAGCGAATCCTTAGGTATACTTACTAATTTTGTTAAAAACATACTTCTGTGCATGTGCTATTCTTAACGTGCTGACTAACTACAAACCAGGGATTCATATCTGCTTCAACACTGATATTTTTTTAGATTTCATAATACGTTGCTCCCCTGTGAGATGTTGTGTTGGAAGTACTGCTGACATACAGCATTTACTACAATAAGCAAGTACTCTTGAGTACAAACCAGAACATATGGTGATACTTGCCTTTCAAATAGGAAAGACCATTTTTAAAATTTTTAATTCCACAATAAAAGTTCTGGTTTATAGTTTTTGAGCAATGATTCAAGTGAATTTTGTATTAACTGGATTTCCTGTCCATCCCAAGTTCCAGACCCTCACCTTGCTAAAGTTAGTCAACTTTATTGTGTCTTATGTTCCACAGATAAAATAAGAGGGAACAGAAACAGCAATGCCTCTGGAGTAGCAGCCACAGCATTGGAAGGAGCATGTCCTAAGGAGCCAGGGAAGCACCTTACTTTGCAGTTCACTGCCAGAAGACTGAAAAATTTTCCTTAGGCATGGGCCATGAACACCTGCATGCCCCCACACTACAAGCCCTGCCACACAGGTAAAGAGGAAACTCTGAGCCAGATTTGACTTTGTCCTAAGTGCCAACATAAGTCTGTCTCTCAGATGCCCTGTGAAAATCTGCAGTATAGTTTTGAACTAAAGTTTACTAAGTCACTGACCTCACTGGGCTCTGAACCAGTCCCTGTATTTCACGCAGGAGCACCATTCCTAGCAAAGTACATATGAAATCTGATGCAGCTTCATGTCAGATCTGACTGTTTAAGGGCGTTCACCACCAGAACAGCTAACTGGACAGCACTGCTGTTCCACCAAATGAGATGGTATACAAGCCAAAGTAAAAGCAGTAGTTAAAACATGAAGAAAGTAACACTAAAAACAAACACTGCAGATTATGCAGATAAAAACAAGTAATTAAAAATGCAGGTATAAGGGATAATCAGAACTGGTAACTAAAATCACCTTCTCATAAAGAACCACAAAATAGCAAAGTGGAGGAATATGCAAATATGCAAATGCATACCCAGTTCTCCCCTCTGTACATTTGGTTTGCTGTTCTTCCTAAGATTTGCGTATTTTGATGGTGTTTGAAAAACTAATCTGCCAAGGACTAACAGTTGTTGCATCTTCTGGACAGAGTAACACTGAATCCTGAAAATCTTGGCAAACACAAAGTGTTTCACACCTGGAATATTTAGAGAAACCTTTGCATTAAATGCAAAGAAATTATGATGTATAAGCAAAGCTTTTGTCGTGACCCTCTACCACATTCTTCTACAATGTTCTGCTTCCTCTGGAGAGACCTTTCCTTTGACTAATGTAGAAATGCCAATCAGTCAATGTTCTTCCAAGGCTTAAACATAATATGTAGTTCCAGGGCAAGTTCTTTTATAAATTACTCCCTATTTGTGCCTGGATAAAAAACAGGGCTAAATCAACTCAATTAATGGCTTTTTACTAAATGTTAGTAAAAAGAACATTTTATTAGCTGTTAGTAAAGAAAAACTGTTACCTTGCAAGGATGAGGATCAACACCATAAGTTTCCAAAGAATATGCTTTCAGGAGCAAGTTAAATTCAGAAACAGCTGGGCTCTGACCTCTGAAATTACAAAAGAAACAGCAGTTTGACACCAAAAAGAAAATAGGAGAAAAAGACTTTTTGACTGGAGCATTTAAATGCCTAAAAAAGAAGGAAAGAAAAGTTTGTACTGAAATACAAACTACTTCAACCATGTTCTGTTTATAATGTAAAGATAGAAAACTTTTCACATGTTTTCTCCTGCTGAATTGCACAGTGCCTGATGTTTTCAGGTAAATTCTGATGTTTTTTTCTCAATCCTGAGATAATAACATGTTATGCAGTTAAACAGCTATCCATTATCCTGCAAGTATTTGTTGTCTTTTGTTATACATGCACATCAGCCTGAACATGAAATAAACCTCAGCATCTTTTTCCACAAACTCTTGCTCCCCAACTCATTTAAAAGGATTGTGCAGATTAACAAACATTCTTTCCAGTGCAGGGTATAAACTTGGCAATCATATTACACTGTCTACTCAGATGCTTGCCTAATTATAGCAGTGCCTGCTACCATCATGATAGTTCATAATCTGCCAGCTTTTCCATTATATGCCCCTATTTTTAGGGTGTCTATAATCAACCATGAATATACACTAAAGCCTGAAACATGGCATGCAAGACTTGAGTTCTAGAGTAAGTTTCATTATTTGATTTTTGCTCTGCTCACTCCTGACATTACAATAAGCTCTAACACAGATTTACAGTGCCTCTTTGTCAGTGAACTGTTCCTAGTATTATTTTATTTATGTATTTACATGACTAGAGTACAGGAGTCTGATAGTTAATATGGGTTTGTGACAATGAGCGGTGCTTAGGACCTTTAGAAAGCCAGCCCTCATAAATGCTTCTTATGCAAATATCAAAAAAATGAGCCTTAGACAAATCTTCAAGAAACACAGCAATACTTTATCTTACCCCTGCATTTTGGGGTCCAGTCTCACACTGTGACCAATGGCACTCGGGAATCGGCATTTAAAAACTGCTCTGTACACTGGTGTGGAATAATTTCCCTGTAAGTCTGTTTTCCCCCAGTAGCTAGAAACCAACAAGCATTGAAATAAAAGATTCAGTATCCAGCCCAAAGTTCTGTTTAACAATTCAGACAATGCTAGCATGCTTGTGGATGTCAAATCCTATTTTGAACCTAGCAAGCTGATGCCCTGTGGTAATGTAAGTGTCAATAACCTTCTCTGTTACAAAGTTTTAATCTGTGCCTGCTTATTGTCTCCCAGTCAATCCCATGATACTTCTTCAGCTTCTTCCATATGTCTTTTGGTCCTCTTTGATACTATACTCCTTGCACTTCATCTCAGACCACATTTTTGTTGAAGTTTAGCCTTTAAAGAAAAAAAACCACGTGAGATTAGAGAAGTGCCCTTCTTTCTCCTTCCTTTTTTGGTCTCTTTCTCACCATCTTCCAATGGAGAAGAACATGTACGAAGTGGAACACCAAAAATTACAAATTTGCATTTACACAGCTAAATATTTAAGGGGAAGACAGCATGAAAGCAGCAAACAAAACAAAACTGCTTATTTTGCCCAATCAACTTTCTGATGGCTCTGCTAAACCATTTTTCTCCCTTTTCAATATTAATAAATCACAACTTTAAGTGTAATCACAACTGTAAGACCGAAAAATGAGCCTTAAAAAGGCAACAAGTTTGTTTTGTGCACTAACCAACTGCACAGGACAGAAGTAATTAACTAACTTGACCTAAATTACTTAGAACACTTATGTTGCATAGTGAAAACAGCAAAACACATAGATGGTTTGAGTGCTTATTGGAGATTGGGCCTTACAGAAAAATAAGATTATGTAATGCATCTTTTTCCCACCTCCCTTTGCTAGTACAAAAGAAAGTAGTCAGTCGTATAGTTTGAAAGGACCAAAAAGTGACAAATACTTTGGAGTGATGTGATTTGGGGGTTTTGGCATTTCCAAAAGGGAAAAAAATATTAAATTGCAATTATTATTGAAAAGACACATTAAAAAAGAATTAGCATGCTCTCCTCACCTATAGCCTCTGAAAATATGCTGTCTTTGTGCACATCACGTAGAACAAGCTGTGGCACTTGGGGAAAAAAGCAGAAGACATGGACAGGTTTGATCTTACCGGATTACAGGCTAATCAAATGGCTACTGTGCAAAGCCTTACAAGAACATCACAAAGCAGAAGAGTCAAGGGCAATAACAAATGAAAAAATCCTCATCCGTCCCTTATCAAGGGATTAATATTCAAGCTTTGATAATACACTTTTCAACTGTAACTTTGCAATTAAATTTTCATTACTAAATAAAAATGTAACTATAGCAAATAGTATCAGTAAAGTGAACATTTTTTATCAGTCACTGATTTAATATTAGATATGCCTTTGACTGTCTTTGTTTAAAAGCCTTTAAGCTTTCTACATGCAACAAACAGCCTTACGCAAAAACATATAGAGTTTCCTCACTTATGCAAGTGTTTCAACTAACGCCTCTTAGGGTGGAAAAACAAGGAATATTTAGACAACGCATATTTGCTGTTTTGTAACTCAGTTCTCTCAGTAATGTCAGGTCTCTCTCTCAGTGCATTCACTCCTTTTGACCTTATATGACTTCCCAAATTTTTCAGAATGTATTCAGCATTAAATGGAAGACGTATTCTCTTTCTATATGCTGCAGCCACTATAGCACCCAGCTGCAGTGTGCCAAAGTTTTTGAACAGGACCAGTAAAAGAAAACATTACACAGAAAAGTTTCTGTACACCACACAAATGATAAAATGTGGATAACTTGTGAAATTAGAACTCCACAGTTATTAGCTATGAATTAATAATTCAAACTAGGATTCAATCAATCTAAAAGTTCCTAATAAAATTTTAATGAAACAAAGACTTTAATAGAAGATTGAGAAGTCTACATTACTCTCTGATTTTTCCTTTAGGCTCATGAAAAGTACACACTAGAGGATGTACAAGCTCTGTTTATTCCCCACAGGGCCCTCAACTCTGAAGCACTTCAAAGGCCAGGAAGCTCAGCAGGGAATACCTCCAGGGTGTGCCACAGCAATGATCTACTTGTTTTGCGGGCTGCCCACACCAATTCACTCTAGAATTTTCTCCCCTTCATACCTTTCCTTTGAGGTATGTATCTGTTGTTACATACTGAAGTAGGGAAACTTAGTGAAAGTCAAAGATGAGGTAGCACAGGATTGAGTATTAATTCCTTTCAGCAGAGAAGACTATATAGCAATAACAGCAAAGAAAAAACATTTTCAGTACTATTCTTGGTTTCTTGCTTCCTGAATAACCTTAGTGAAGTCACTTCATCTGTCCTCTCTGATTCCCTTACTGACTTACGAAGTGCTGTGAGATACTACTATTAACATACTAATAATAATAATAATAATAAAACACATAATTATTGTCCATCCTTTTGCCTCATCTCTATGTCAAAAAAAGTTACTGTACTTGAGCATGCCCCATGTACAATTAATTTCTGGCTATTTATGGTCTGTAGGGTATTTCAATGCAATTAATTCAAAGAATAATAAGTATGTACATAATGATCTGGCCTCTAGAAGCATTATGTATTCACCTCCATGCAAACCAGGGAAAAGTATCAGCCATAAAGCTTTAAATAACATAGGCTCAGTCTCCGTCAAACACCCTTTGCCCTGCCCTGCAACTGTGGACATATCTCACTGCAGTCTCAGAAGAGACCACAGTAACTATTTCAAGAAGGATCTCCACCTATGAAGTATTCTTGTTATATTCCTGATCTTGTACAGGACATCCCTCAGCAGAACAAGGTTACTTGGGTTTCCTTTTAACCTAAAAAAAAGCCAGAATTCTGCATAAAGAATCAACACATTTAGCTACACCATCTACTGATCACAGAACTGCTTACACATGGCTGAGGTTTTGTTGTTGTTTCTTTAAATCTTTTTACAGGTGGTTGAGACTCCAATTGCTATACAATTATAGTATTAAAGGTCTTCAGTAGTTTTTACTTTTCCTTTAAGCTCAGGAGATTCTGGCAGACAGTGGGGATGTTTTTAAATAGTCTGTCTGCTAGTACTTTTAGTCACAATGAAGGTACTACAGAGGACTATGTGGTATTGAAACACAAATCTGCTATAATTATCAGTGTTTTAGTTGTACTGGGGACAACAGCACAACAGTGGTAATAATTCTAAAGAAAAGCACTAAATTAAGACACTGGTAAATGAAATTGCGTTGTAGGCTGTGGCCCAGTTTGTCAGAATAGTGAGGCCAGGCTTTGCACATTGCCCAGGCAGCAGAGCTGCTCCCCTGAGAACTGCCTGAGCCACCAGCATTCAGGAGAGCAAAAGCCTTTAGATGGGTCTGCCTATGAAAAGAGACCTTAACATCTGGCAAGTAGCTGAATTGCTGAAATGTTGCTGGAACATGTAAAACTTAGAAAACTGCAGAATACTCAAATATCAATTTTAACCTGTACTGCAAAATTGTTTTTTCTCTCAGACAGATAGAATCCTAGGATCAGAAAAACCTGAATAATCACTTTAAAACAATAATCAAACTCTTTTACAAGTCTATTAAATGCTTATGTGTTTAATTTTACACCATGCACACGGTAATGACATGTGTCACTTACATAACTCCTTCTACCAGAACATTTCAAATTACTTGTGTGCCTTTGGAGATCAGACTGAGGTGGTATCTCTGAAGTCTGTGCTTAGGTATCTGTATTTCAACTTCACTTCATAAACTGATGCAGTGATGCAGACAGCTTTAAGCTTATTCAACAGACAGAATACATTTACAGAGCAGATGCAGTTTTAATTTACCATTAATTTAAAATCTATTCCCATGATACAGAGACATCTACTGAGCTCTCTGTTTTTAATATCACAGTAGATTCATTCTTCTGGTCCACACACATCTAGCCTACAAAGCTTTCTCCCAGATAAAGAAGAGGTGGGGAGGGAGGAGAGGGGCAGAGGAAATAGGTCCCTTCAGCTGATGAAGAAATGACTTCTAGAAATTCACAC